AGTGAGTGAGAGAGGGATGAGATGTGAAGCAAAGGGAGAATCTATTGTCGATGTCTGGAGTGTTAGGGAAGCACTTGTTATGGTTAGGACCGCAACCAATACATGGTTGGGCAGAGGGAGGCATCGCAAGCACACCACTACCACTAATTCACCACAATTCACATTATGGGACATTAAATGATGGTTACATACCTGTGATTGGTATCCAATATCGATATAAAGTGATCATTTAATGTACAAAACATGCAATCATTATGGATAGAGTTGAGCACAAGTGGTGAGACAAACGCCAGTCTCCCCTCTCATCGAGAATATGGTGGACTCAATAGCGCTGTTGATAAGCAGTCACTACAGCACTGCCACAGCTCTGCACAGCACTCACAGCACTCCACACAACACAACACCAGTCCATTGACAGCAATGCACTGCCAATGTGTGTGTCTCTCAGCACAGCCTATCAATGCAGGGGAAGGCAGTCATCCTATCCTATGAACAACACAGACATAGACACAGACCGAGCGCTCACTTCTGTACCTCACTCTCTATACAGCGAGTACCTTTAATATGGATAATTAGTTTTCTGGGTTTTCTTCGCCGAATAGTAACGTCCAGAAATTGCATATATGTTTATTCAACAAAAAACAAGACAATTTCTGGACGTTACTATTCGGCGAAGAAAACCCAGAAAACTAATTATCCATATTAAAGGTACTCGNGCCGAATAGTAACGTCCAGAAATTGCATATATGTTTATTCAACAAAAAACAAGACAATTTCTGGACGTTACTATTCGGCGAAGAAAACCCAGAAAACTAATTATCCATATTAAAGGTACTCGCTGTATTTTGCTTACCATTTGATCCCATGTTTTATCTCATAGATATTGCAATGCATTGCATAACATATTTTTATTCAGCAGACAATTACTAAATATTAATATATTAAAAAGTGTGGCAATAAATAACAGCAAATTTATATTTTTACTTTAATTTAATAATAATTTTATTATTCAATTCTTATCTCTAGAATTCAATTATATTGTGAATACACTCTAATTGTTCACAACTTTTAGGATTTGAAATTATTATTTAACAAATTATTACATATTTTATATGATTTATTTGATTGTTATTTAATTTGACACAAAAGAGCAAAAAATAAAATAATACAAGACTTGGGGAATAAAAGTCCGATTTTATGAGTTTTTATATATTATTTAACAAATTATTACATATTTTATATGATTTATTTGATTGTTATTTAATTTGACACAAAAGAGCAAAAAATAAAATAATACAAGACTTGGGGAATAAAAGTCCGATTTTATGAGTTTTTATGGTATATTTGATGTATTGATGAATTGGGAAAATAAACTTAAATTAATTACAAAACATTCAAGTGAGCGATAAATGCGTTGTTTTGCTTATGAGTATTGACTTAATTATTAATTATATGAATATAAATGTTGTGTTTTTATAATAACAGAGTTTAAAGTCAATGCTTATTAAATAAGATATTTAAAGTTAAGTCTATTTTCGCACTTTTATTGCCATTCATTTACATGTCATTTAGAAAATTGCAGTCAAAACAAATTGATTAGTCTTCTAGTCTGACTGTTATTTTTCATTATTTAGTGCAAATGCAACAGAAAAGTGTGAATCAATTATTGGATATTAAGTTAATGTTTGTTTTATCGACTCTTATATACATTTAAAATAATGGCTTTTGTATTGACTATAACTTAATGATTAAATTAAAGGCATTCCGAGCCCTCATTTGGTTGAATCGCTTTGAGAGAGACCTTGTATTGCATTGGCTATGGATTGGGGCCAAAATCGTTGCATAGAATTACTAGTCTTTAACTTTTTAGAGCCCGAACTCTTGGATGAGCTCTTCGATGTGCTCTGACTTGAGATACCCTGAGTCTCGCCCAACGAGTTTGCCGTATCCAACATCGGCTGAAGTATCCTTCGGCGCGCGTTTATAAACCAATTGTTCACTTGAAGTAATGTGAGATTCGTTTGCGATGCGATCGTCCGCTTCTCATCTTCGGTCGGATACGGATGCTATCAATACAACAATACATTGCATTATATAACGACATGATTGGCCAAACAATTGACACCAAATGAATGATATGTTACCACAATATGTTGGAAAAGCCACGACCTCATGATGGAAGTGGCCTGTTTTGGAAGAACACCTCTCTTTTGCTGCTTCTTTTTGCTATTATTGCTGTGATTGGATCCCAAGTCATCGCTCATGTCTTCATCATTACTACTGTCTCTATCGTTCATATGATGTGACTTATGATTTATATTAAAATTATTTTTATTGTTTGTATTATTATTATTATTATTTGTGCCGATTTGTGAGGTGGGAGTCGAGCCTTGAATTTGTTGACTTGAGTTCATTTGGATGGGCTGTGCGACCAATCCCTGTGCCGTTTGAACCATTTGGTACACTGTCTGTGGTGTGGGGTTTGAGGCAAATGCTGTGGTCGATGAGGAGGTAAGCGGGAAGTCATCAGAATCTGCATCTGAAGAACATGAGGAGCCATCAAATAATGAAAACCGTGACCTTAACAACAGTCTCAACCGCGGGTGTGTTCTCCACGGGGCGTTATCCAAGAGCCTTGAGTAAAAACACGCGTTTGTTCGAAAACCTCTTAACCTAATAGTAAAGTGTGTAATCATAATATATTAACAATTGTGTCAATATTTAAAAACTTACTGATATATCGTTGACAAAAGTCTTTACATAATTCCGACACTTTTTCCAATTCTAATAAATGAATTCTAAGAACTTGTATGGCTTTAATCATAAGTGCGTCCACTTCTGGATCGTCGCTGAGGAATGGTTTGCCATCTCTTTGCTGGTGTTCAACGAATGCTAAGATCTCTGCGTTGAACGAAGAATTGGTTGAACTGATGGCCTGTGTGTTGAGAGTTGCGGTCGCGGTCTCGCACTTCTCTAACAATAGCGCCAACAGTGGGAAGAGTGGGTGCTATACAACGAGTGTGCCGTCAATTAACACAACACTTATCAGAACACAGAAATGAGTGATACAAACCTTATAGACAGCCTTCTTGTCCTCTTCGAACTGTTGTTTAGAGACAGAGACCGTTGAGTTCTCTTCCACTATTGGCTCGTCAGTCATGTCATTATCATTACATTCTTTAGGCGAACATTTTGGTGCCAATTCAGTCTGTTAGAGAAAGAAGTGATGTAAAAGAAGGAGAAGGAGTAGCCAGTGTCTTCACCTGCTTAGCCTCAATAACAGGTATTAAAGTGCAGAATATGTGTCTTGAGTCAAGATTACTTATTGTTCTTTACAATACCAAAAACATGTGAATAATCATCAAAAATAGAGTAAAGCTATAAAATATATTTGTATTTTAATAGTTATTCTTATAATAAAGATATTTACATAACAATTATGAAAAACCATTATATCGTAAGTAAAACAGCATTAAAATTACTTTCAATTATCTCTAGACATGAAAACTATGAAAAATCAAACATTAATTTCAACTAATTTTCTATCAAAATATTGAAATTTCCACATCTTTTGAAAACCATTAGTTACGCAAAGGTATTGTGAAAATTGAAAAACTTAATAGTCTATTAAGAATAGACTATGTTTTCAATTGGCTTTTCAATTGTCATAAACAGCAAAAACCAATTAACAAAATAGTGTCAATCAATGAATTCAAATGCATTCAGACATCAGTTAATTAAAGTGAGACAAAAAAAAATCCGATGAATGTCTGAATAATGCAATAATTGCATCAAAAATTGATAATAAAAGTTGTTATCAAAAAGACTTAATCAGTAGTCTAATAGTGACAAATGCTGTTATTGTGTGGCAAAACACTTAGTAAACTTTAATGTTAAATTTATTAGTGACGAAAATAACAAACGTTTATATCAAACGCTAATTAATAGTGTGTTTTTAAACTAACATAAGTGAACAAAAACACGGAATTAAACACAATTTAATTTAATTATTAAAATATGACTTAAAAAAGTTTTTCTCAATTTAAAAGCTTTTACCAAAATTTTATATTAATTAAAATGTTTTCTTTGAATAAAAAGAGAAATAATGGAAACATTTTTTAGAAAATATTTTAATCTTTAAATCTTTTCCAAAATTTTGTAAATATTTTCAACAAATAAATCAATAAAACTATTAAAACGTTAGGAAAAAAGTAATTATCTGTAAAATCATTTCTTAATGTTTACAATTAAAACAAAATAAATTTTCAGTCATAAACACAATAGCCTTAAGTATTATTTGATAATATGTTTCAAAATATCCTTCAATTTTGTTTAGCATTTGTCTCAAGTTTTTGAACATAATTTATATTTAATTATAAGTTATTATTTTATTTGTAAAATAAATCATTTTGAAAAAAAACAAAAATTTAAATCAAATAAAAATTACAAAACAAAACAACAAAACGATTAAAAAACTAAACGATTGGATAAAACGGTAAACAAAAAAAAAGTAAAACAAACAAAAGTTTCAATAAATTTAATGATGAAATGATTGGAAAGAAAGTGGATATGAATGGAGAAAATCAAATATCAATTAACGGATAATAGGGTAACAATCGGTGGCAGAGAAAAGGCAGTGAGAGATAAAATGTGTAGACAATTGAATAATACCTGCTTTGGATGTTTGGCTGTATGTCTGGCGGAGTGTTGTGTGCAGTCTATAGCTGTCATCAAATGTCACTCCGAATGAGTGAAATGAAAGACATCCAATGAAATGGCCGACAGACACAACAGACACACCACACCTTTGCACCACTGCCTACCACTGCCTCCACAACACACACTCGACCACCAGTGGGTCCGGCGCTCACTTCTTAGCGGACACAACACAACGGCAATCACCACAACTCATGGCATCCCTTCGTAAGACGATTAGTGTTTGCTTTTGTCGACTAATGAATAGCTTTTTTTAATGACAAGTGAGGACTCAAAACACACAACACTTTCGCTGGCATTCAATGTGTGAGAGAAAAGCCGTCGCCTCTCAACACCACAAACCCATACAAACCAATACTCCGCCCACTCTTCGCACACACACTCCTCCGCTCAGACAAACATCGCTTACGTCCCCAACACTTGTCCCCCAAAACTCGCTGTCAAATCGTTGTCTAACCCTATGTTTTGCTCAATGAATGTGTGATTCGTTGCCGTTATTTATGCCTCCCTTTCGCGTAACAATTGGTGCCAAACGTAGCGAACGAGCGCTTCATTGGACCCAAAGATGGCATTAAAAGCCGTGTTTTCTAATGCTTTTCGCAAACAAAACAGTGTTTTGAAAGTTGTGTGCATTTTATGCCAATTCATTGCAATTTGCAAATCATCTCAACATTGAGTTAATGTCAACACAAATAACAATTTGCTAAACGCGTGAAGCGATAAGTGATTTGTTTTGTGCCATTAATTGGATTAATAGGTATTAATAGTGATGTCTTCGGCGGCGGATACGCAACGACAGGAAGTTATGCGCAAAGAATTACTCGATTTGAATACTCAGAGGAATAAAATGGAGAATGAGATCAAAGAGTGGCAATCAATCCTCGACAGTGTATGTCACAAATGACACATCAATTAAGGCTTAAAATGTTGAACATTTGAATTGTATTTCCAGCAAAATGTAGGTTTGAATGAGCCGTTGGTCGACGCCCAGGGCTTTCCCCGCAATGACATCGATATCCATCAAATCAGAATCGCGAGGAATAAAATCATTTGTAATTATAATCACATTTTGAGTATCGCTTGAAGTAATCCGGTTTTCAAATCAATAGGTCTTAACAATGACTACAAGAATTTGATGAAACAAATTGAGGAGAAATTGTTTGCATTTCACGAATTGGCCAAAAGAGAGGACAAACCAAATGACGACAATCCAGAGAAATAGCATTCATTTGATTCATTAGATGTTTTCATTTTTATTAATAATACATTAATCTAAATAACGTTTTGTTAATCGTTTTGAACTTATTATAATATTAAATGCATTTTTGTATAAAATATAAGTTATATTATTTTTAAAGACTAGTTTTGGGAATGTTTTGTGTTTAATATACTGTATAGAGAAACCAATTAAGAGTTTGCCTGAGATTTAATGCTAGAGATGGGAAACATTAATACTTTTGCTCTCATAAACGATAGATTCGGCAATTCGTCCAAAACTTGAATCGCTTCCGCACTCAGTGTCTGATTCGAGTCAGTGTTTAGATTCGTTACCGAAGATGTATTGCTCACTGAAGACAATATCTGTTGCATTAGATTTGTTTTGTTAGAGTCCGATATTTTCGCAACGTTTTCGTAATGATTGCCATTTTTATCGTTTAGGAAATCGTCGATATCTAGAAATATGTAAAATACAGTTAGAATTTTATTTGAGACCAAATCCAGCCATTTTGTAGTCATCACCAGAAAAGTTGGTCTGTTTTTTGGTATTCTTCACGTCATCGTTAGTGACAAAGAAGTCTAAATCGAAAGCTGCCGTCGATTTTTGATTGACATCTAAAGGGTTGGTCAGACCACTGGAGACCCAATCGAATTGCACGGGAGGTATAGATGAAGTGGTCGACGATTCGCTTATAGTTTCGTTTTCATCGGTTATATCGTTATTATTGAATAGATGTTTGGTTGGCTCTAAAACCAGTCCCAGTCCTGAAGCAAACACAGGCACTGATGAGTTGCGTAACTATATTATGAAAGAAAGCAAATATATTATTAACTAAATGTAAATCTAGATATTTTTGCAAAACAAAAATATAACATAAAAGCGGATGAAACTAATGGTATACTAGAGTTAAAAGGATTTGTGAAAATGAAATAAAAGGTTTAAAAAGCAATGGATTATTAGTGGAAATGCAGTTAAAACTCTTACAAAAAAGCTAGAAGTCATCCAAAAGAACACATTCCTAGTGTTTGAACGCAAAGAAAATTACTTTTTATTCAAAACATATTTTTTATATGGAAAAGAATAGAAAACCGATGGAATGGACGTTAGCTTTGAGCCCAACATTAAATGTTTACTCACAATATTTCGGGGATCGATATTAAGAGAAGTCAATAGGAGTTGAAATGAGTGCGAATTAGGCCAACGAAGCTTAAGTGAAGGCGCGCTCTCCAAGTCTTGTAAACTCTTCCACAGGTTATTACTAAATATCGGACAAAATTAAAGTAATTTGAGTTAAAACATCAAAATGTATTAAAAATGCTTATATTTTATGCAAACCTATTTTCATCACAAGTATTGAATAGATCTCTGGATATGTTTTGAGTGTTTTCATCACTACTTATGGTCTCTTCTTTCGGGAAGATTTGAGCAAAAAGTTGAGTCAATTCATCGGAATTGGGAACCGATTGTGGAATCACATCGAGATTCACGTGTTCTGTGAATCCATTAATTGTGTTATTTGTTTGAAACGACGAAAAGTCGGCAAATTCTCCATCACTTTCAACAATTGGTGTCGAATCAGAAGTATTTGTCTTCAAATCGGGAACTGATTCTAAATTAGTGTTAAGAACTGGTTGTGCGGACGCGAAGTCAGCGAAATCGTCATCACTTTCAGTGTCTTTAATATCACTTTCGTTTTCACCCGTTTGTGGACTTTTGATTGCATTGAAATTGTTGTCAACATTTGTGACACAATCCGTGAAAGACATCTCAGAAAATGATTTGGATTTATAAAAACTGAATGAATTGTTATCGTCTTCTCCTTCTGCTATGGAATCGTTGATTTGATTGCAATTGGATTCACATTCTGTGAATTGAAACGATGCAAAGTCTGCAAACTCTAAGTCATCGTCAGTGACACCAATTTCAGTGACATTCAGTTCTTCAACAACTTCTTTGTCCTCTTCAGTCACTTCTTTATTGTCTTCACTTTCTTCTAAATGTTTATCTAAATTGTGTTCATTTGAATCAATATCTGGAAGCGATTCTAATTCAAGTTCTTTCATATCATGTTCACTGGTATTGTGATTATATTCTTCACTATTTAGATCATTGATGTCCTGTTCAGTCGATTTAATACTATTATCATCACAAGTGTTGGACTCAATTGTAATACTATTGTCTTCATCGGCGGTCATATGATTGCACTCATTGTCATCAACGGATGGCTTCTTATTGTTAGCATTAATTGCATTATTATTATTGTTAACTAAATGTTTGCCATTGTTTTGCTTAATAACGGGAACAATAAAATCAATATCTTCTTCTTCCTCTTCGGTGGTAACGCCATTAAAAGCACCAAAATCTGGCTCTTCTTCTTCACTGTCGATGATATCCATCGGCGGAGGAGTCGTCCGTATTATCGGAAAGTTAGACATCTTTTTTGGGATCAAATATTTGTCTATTATTTAAAGACTTAATATATTTGTCATAAAAAGTGAATCAAAATATAGTTTCAATTGAAGACAAATGCCTTTTAAACATATTTCTCATAATTAATTGCTATTTGCGTTCAGATTAACAGATAATATACGGCTTATAATGAGGACAATAAACAAATCAATTGATCCCAAGAGTAGTTAACAACAAAATTAGTGTTATATTTATATCACAATTAATAAGTAAATGATTAACACATTTAACGATAGATTTATGAAACAAAATATTGTAAACAAAATGAATGAAAAAATATTTTTTCCATTAATTCAATACACGATTCAATCAATTGATTGTGTTTTTGGTGTTAAACACAAACTCATCACAAATTGTGTCCACAAATCAATGTTCAGTAAAAATTAGTTTCAAAACTAAATGTCAATTAAAAGCGACGGCAAAGACATTCACACCGAATGAGTGATGGATTGCTCGCAGATGTGTCTCACATATTGTGTCCAAACATTACCACAAATATGAGTGCAAAATGTGTGGTAAGAGTCGCCACCAATCGGTCCATCACTTCAAGACATGTCAATGCATTGCAAGTGATGTTTGAATTGTGAAAATTGCTATTCAAGACATTTGTTTTATCGATAACTTCTTCTTGTGGTATATGTGGTGATAATGAGTGATGTTTTTGATGATAATAACGATAACGAAGACATTGAGTTCGCGAACAGAGAGTGGAATAAATTGAATAAAAGTTTGCAAAAAGTATTGTGTTTTTGATCTCAATTTTGAATTGATTTTTAAAAATATTTAAATTTTTCACTAAAGGATGGCTTCAAAGATGGTATACATGAGGGACGAGAGACTGGTCTTCAGAAGGCGTTTGATTTGGGATATAAACTATCTTTTGATCCATTTTTGACCATTTCTTCGTTTGAAGCCATTATTGAGTAAAACTTTTGAATTAATTTTTGATAAAAACTAACTTTAATTGCATTTAAATTATGAAATGAGTGTTTTGGTGGCAAACACTGAGCACAACGACTCCGATGGCCAGATCTCAACACAATTCAAGACAATTAAGACAGATATAAGAAAACTATACGAATTGACTGAAAATCATTTATTGAGTTTAGAGGCAAACAATTTGGACTCAAATACCACTGCATTTAAGAGCGAAATCACGGATTTATTTGAAAACACAAAACTAAATGCGATTACAATTTGCAGTGAAAACAATTTTGAGCCTATTTTACAACTAATCAAAGATCTATCGCTTAAATACAATTGAATTGATTTTATATATAATTAATTTTCATAACAAAACTAATAAACTATTTAATATCGGGCTTCGTTTGCAAATGCCGTTTGTATCCAAACTGTGCCACTTTGGCCAGTATTCGGTCTCCGCCGGGAAAGTATCTGATCCTCAACTGGTGGCCAACTATGACGGCGCCAACAATGCCGAGGAATAGGTACCCGCCGTACGGTCTCATGAATATCGAGTTGGGTTTAGCCGTCTTGTATTCCACCACTGAAGCAGACAATCAAGACATTCATTAATTGGCAATTAATGTCCAAATGTTAATGCATTTAATACTCACTCTTGTTATCTGTTTTGCAACCGATTTGTGTATCAATTGATCAGAAAGTGATTCAAAGAAAAACACAACACAAATACAGAGCCATAGTCTGTGAGCAACACATCAATTATGTCCACAAAAACGTGAGCTTTATTTCAAAGACATTATTGTGATGTAAATTATAATATTTTTTGTAAATTAATTTAAAACAATTAAAAACTAGTTAATTAAAAATCTAAAACCTAAATATCATTACTATTTTAATAGACATTCAATCAAACGATTGGATCCAATCGTAAACTAATTGCAAACCCTTTCCGGTAACACAACTCACTTCCAAGACATGGATTCTTTGATTGGGAAGTGAATCAATCAAATTGTCGATCATTAATAGATATCGGATCTCCTCTTTATTCGCTGTGCAATTGATATCCGTTTTGTTGAGAACTATAAGAATTGGTTTAGTATTCTTGACATTAATGTCGGACACCATCTGAAAGAGCGAAACACATGAATTGCCAATTGTGGACAAATTAGTTGAATCGATCACAAAAATGATTGCCTGACTGTCGGCATAGTATTGGTGCCAAATCTCATCCATAGAACCGCCGACTTCTTCAACGTTCGTTGTCTTAGTCTTTGATTTAATGAAAACAATATTAGTTCCAACGGTTGAGACCGTAGAGGGAATGTCCAAATAGTTTGCGATCTGGGAATCAATGTTTTGAAGTCGTTTTAATAGTAATGTCTTTCCCGACGCCGTCGGACCCACACATAAGATCATTGTTTTTGTGGACAAAATTACAAGAATTGAACCTTAAGTTCAGTGAATATCTTGTGAACGGTTTCGATGTTTTGCTTCAGAAGAATAACGTATTCTTTAATCGCAGCGAAAGTACTCTTTTCGTCAATCGTTTGCTTATCAGAAGTTAAATACTTCAGAAGCGAAGACCTGTTCGGAGCGGACAACAGACAGAGGGAACAGATCTGTTGGACGAACCAATTGTGGTGTCTCTTCAGCGCCTGATCGTAGGCTTTGGCGAAATAATCGCTGAGATCTTCGTTTCGTTTCTCTTCCTCGAAGTCCTGGAGAAAGAGTGACAAAAAGATGAGATTATAATCGAGGGCTCGAGTCAACCAAATGAGAGCATCGGTTCCCAAATGGAAATCACTTTCACAGAGAGTGTGTTTCTCGTCGATCACTATTTGGTCCACAAATGCAAACTTTTGTGGATTTGTTTCATATATTTTCGTCAATTTATCGATATTTCCGTTCATATCATGTCTGACCGGAAGGAAGGCTTTGCCCAACAGTTCCACGAATTGGACAACACTTCGGGAGGCGTTCAAGAAGTCTATGGTTTGGATGCGATTGGAGTCGAGTCGAGGAAAGTAAACACAACTCTCGAAGAAATCTTTCTTTTCATGGTTTGTGTCATTCATTACAACGATTTCGTCGAGTCTTTCGTGTATTGAATCCTATTTTGTGTTTTCTCTTCAAAACAAATATTTAATAATTGATATAATTTTCACACAAATTATAATTGCATTCAAATGACAGACAATAACACAAAATAAGACACAAATTCACTGCAAAATAATCAATGCATTGATTGTTATGTAATGTAAACACCAGTTGTTGTCATAACAAACACGTGACACAAGTATTCAATCATTTCATTGTTTCACTTCTTTTTGAGTTTGTTTTTCAAACCAATTGTTTAATTGTCACAATTTAGCCATCATTTGCGTCCATTTCATCACAAAAAGTAAGATATTATTGCCATTAATGGCAACAAAATCAATGAATTAATGCCTGAATTGTATTACAATTACACGAAATGACAATTTAGTGGCCTTTAAACTGAAGATGAGATACGAATGGATATTCTTCGCCGGTTTCTCTAGTCTTGTGATCGTTTGGTGGAAATTACAGTCTTATGGTATGATTGATATGATTTGATTATAATATATGTATTGTGTTAACCATTAATTGTGTGACCATTTGTGGCCCATTAGTACCCGAAGCCCAGCGAACTGATATACGAATTGCCCGAAGAATCCAACGAAACATTCAATCATACTTTCCCACGAAGACTGACGACAAATGACTTATTTTTAGCGTTTTTTAGATATTGTATAGAAATAATTAAAGGTATTGTTAAATGCATTTCAAACTTTTTGTGTTTACTTTGTTGTTGTAATAAAAATTCAAACACAGAATTTGATTATAAAATTATAATTTATTAATTCATAATACAAATGCTTTTTTATAACAATTGTATAAAATATACTTATTTTATATTCAATGCAAAAATATTGAATACAGACATCTATTTTAGACTTAAATACTAATTAATTTAATGCAAAATATACTTTAGAGTGAATTATTTGTTTGAAAATAATATTGATATAACAAATGTGGAGAAGAAAGTCAATTAATGGCCAAATCATCACATTATTTCTGACTCAATATCTTTTAAAATTGTGATTAAATTAGTTAATCCGAAAATATATCCCCTGTCGGGTCCGTTGTTGTCTTGTATGTGTCCACCCATACCCTCATGTGTCGTATGCGCGAAATCAATCATTCGGATGTCCACTAGATTTGTATCACTTTTGCTGATGTGATCCGCGTTTCCCTCATATATGATAAGCAAAGAACTCGTATAGAAGCGGAAAGTATCCAATTTCTCGACCACTGACAACATCTTCTCTAACTTATGTATCATTAGATTTATTAAATCACTTCTCAATTTGTTCTCGATTTGCAAAAACATTTTAAATGTCTCTACAAATCCTTCTGGTGATAGCGTTCTGCCATAATATTTGTTATGACATTTAAAGTGATCCATAGTCTTATTATACACCTATTGGTGATATTATAATTAGCAATGATTTATATATCTAGGATATTTTATCAAGAATAAGATATATCTAAACTAATTTGATAAGTTAAGGCATTTGCTATGTTAGCAAATATAACGTAAACTCAGTGCTCACCTGAACGCCAGTTATTCTGAGTCCAAGAGTACCGGATGTAGTGTTGGATACTTTGAGAGAATGAGTTTTTATTTTATCGTCATCTGCGAAGTCGTCGTGTTGTCGGACTCCCATCTTCAGGTCCATAACACACGGAGACTTGAATCTGAACGTCAAGTTCTCCAGTAATAGGAATTCTAAATTTGGTATATTATGTGTGAATGGCTTAGCATTTGTAAAATGTTTATAGTATTTACTCTTTCGTTGGTAACTGTGGTTCACTTTAAGCGCTGATATTGTCTTCAGAACCCATGGGTTATGTATTTTAGTTGAAGAATTGTTGGTAATTTCGGGCAAATCATGTTTGCTGTGTTCAAAGGCATGTTTGCGCTCTCCATGTGGTGACGGCTTATCTTTGTTTTCAATGACATCTCCATTAGGTTTACATAATTTGATTCGATATTTAGCGTTCTGTTGACTGTTATCTTCGTCTATATAACTATTGGGCGGTTTAGTAGTGATTGTCAGATAGCCATCGGAACTCTCACTGAAGTACACTTCACTGATTCCGCGAAATTCTGGAATAAAAGGCTTCAGTTCTGTGGGAGTTGTCTCATAAAAGGCGAGTTCCCGTGAGATAATGGGTTTGCAAATGGTTTGGCCAAACACTAAGATAGTGCTTCTGCCGCCCACCTGATGCACGAATGGCTCCAATGTTATCACATTATCATCATTTAGTTGGTCTCCCATTGATCTACACAAGTGGTGGACAACTGTTGAGTGGAGAAAAACAGATCATATTTTTAATTAATATTTTTTTGTGTAAAATGGATAACAAATTCAACATTTATTTACATAAAACCGTTTTTTGGACAGATTTTGAAATTTAAATCATAAAATTTTAAATCTATAATTAAACTAATAATCAAAATAAAAATATCAAATAAATTCTCATTTAAAATGCCGTAAAAAATAATATAAAAATGAAAATTGAATTCAGAATTATTGCAATATTCTGTTGAAGTTCTCATAGAGAATGTGTGCTCACAATAGACCGTATGATAACGAAAATTATTGATTTGACGTAAGTATCACTAAAATAAGTCTGAAATTAAAACAAATATAAAAATCATTGAATTCACAAATAAAATCGATAGAAAGTGAATACTTGTAGAGACAAAAAATGCCGGAATATTATCAATATTATCAGGTAATTCAGACGTAGTGCTCGCTATCATTGCTATAATTGTAATTACAATTTGAAAATGTATTACAAATGAGTGAAGCAATTGATAAAAGGATTAATGCTTAAGAAATCTATTTTTCAAGTAATGATAATAAACAGAGTTTTGGAAATGGCATTGAGTTTATATAATCAAATAGTTTTGCTAATACTTTATAATAAATATAAAACTGTTTATTGGAAAATATTTTTCTCTTCGTTTAGGCGTTTAGAAATGTTGTACCATTTAATTACTCTGACTTAGATTAAGCTAAATATTGCGAATAACTTGTTAAACACAAATTCAAACAATATTCTTGACAACTATTTAAAAATATCGTAAATTTTAAATTGACAAAATTTTTGTTTTAATCTATTTATAAACAGAATAATTATCAAATTGTATTTTACATTGCTGAAATACCACAAATTCACTTATTATTACCTATTATTTCATATTTTGTACCTGTATTACACACTACGCTAACAATTCACTTTTTTTTATCTTGACACAAGTTATGATAAGATTATAATTATAGTTATTTATAATATAAGTTAATACTTAGAATTTATAAATGATAACTACAATAAGTATACATTTACTCGTTAGACATTAAATTAAGAAATTAATATTAATACAGATGTCATTGGAAAAGCAATCGGGAATATAATCTGACTTTGATTTCATATTCTTGAGCAAAAATAGCAGAATTTCTTTTTATAAACTTGAAGTGCATTTTAAGGATCTTTCAATGCTTTTTGGATCATTAAATATATGTTTAATTCAAATGAAATTTTATGAAAGTAATTATTAAATCAATAAAAATCAACTTAAAATTTAATTTTGCGCAAAACTATGATTTTATAAACTGAATAAATATTATAATCTTATGTCTGAAGTGTAGGTCAAAGTTCAGCAATCAGTTAATATACTTTGCTCTTTGAAGGGGAAGTTGTATTCAGTGTTTGCGTTAACTTTTGCGATAAGAAATGAGCGCTAATTTAATGATTAAAATAGGAATAAACACTATTTTCTCGTTTATATTTCACTAATATCTCAAACGATGGCATATTGTCTCACAAAGTGATGGCAAACACAATGAAAACTAAGATTGAATCTACAAATTGACGGCAAAAGCATAATCTAAAATATAATCTAAAGTTAGACACAAGTGTAGAGTCTGTGTGGGGAGGAAAGGGAGGCGTAAGGGATGGTGAATGGGATGGTGTATGGGATGGCATATGGGATGGAGAGAGTGGTAACGATGGGAGTGATGGGAGCTCTGGCAGTGGCAGTGATGGCAGTGAATGTGATGCCATCCCAATGTCATCCCACACTCTCTCCACTCAATGCAGTCAATGTATTGACAGACAAACAGACAGAGAGTGTATGTGTTGTGTATGTAATGGCCGTACATCTGATTACAAGCCATTTAATCCCATCTCTAGTGTTGTTGTGATTATAATCTGATTATTATTTACTATTAGTTTTGCAATCAATCGCTGAATTGAAAGTCGTTTTGTACGACAAATACCATTAGATATTATGGTTTGCTTTTGCCATACATTTGAGTCGCGAAACCATTTTATATGACATTCAATGAGTGATGAATGCAATTGTGATCGCAATTCAAGACAAGAGTTATATATTGTTTTGATCCACAATTCAATTCATATACCAATACAGCGATTGTGATCACAACTACGAGTGACACAACTGATCCGCCAGACAGACACAGAGTGCACATCAATCACAACAACAGCCGCTGTTTACTGATCACCAGTTGTCCGCACAATAAGGTTTGGATCCAATGGTTAAAGAGAAACCCAATTCCACCCGAACTTACGACGAGGAAGGGTTCCGACGAAGAGCCGCGTGTCTTTGCGTCCGCGACAAGGATGAGAAAGAGGTTACCATTTATTTGAGACCATTGTTTGTCACACTATTTACTATTGGATTTGTTGCAGATATTGCTGGTGACCAGTAGTAGAGCTGGCGATCGTTGGATTGTTCCCGGTTTGTCACCACCGATGACCTGATTGTATGACTTATGTATTTAATGTATTCTTTGACTTATAGGCGGAGGTCTTGAGCCCAATGAGGACCCGAGCGCTGCCGCTATCCGTGAGACCATCGAAGAGGCGGGCGTTAAAGGAGTGCTCAGACGATGTTTAGGCACTTTTGAGGTTTTTTTATTTGCTTTTCATTGCGTGATATTGTTATTGAATTGAAGCCATGGTTTACCCAATTGTCTCTCTAACTAATTGGCGCAGAATTTAGAGAGAAAACACAGGACTTCGGTCTTCATAATGCAAGTGACTGAAGAACTCGAGGAATGGGAAGACTCGCAAAGTAAGTAAACGTTTGATTAAATGATATGTTTTATGAAAGTATTGGCAATTAATTGATGTTTGAATTGACACTTGAGGTCGAAAGAGGAATTGGTTTGCAATAGAAGAGGCGTTGAAGCTGTTGGCGATCCATAAACCCGTTCAGACAACTTATGTCAAACTCCTCGTCAAGAATGACAGCCTCTTGTCGTCGTCGTAGCGCTTCACTCATTCTCTGACAAGAATTATAGATTTTAAACAACTTTTTTCTCTAAAATTTTAACTCTAAATGTTTTTTATGATAAGAGATTTGTTATTCAGAGATTTTCATAGCATCTGTTGCTGTTATCGATGAATACTTATTGATTGTATTATATATTATACATACGTTTATATATCTTCTGATTCATACAAATCCTTACAATTTGAGTGCTAATCAGAGCCACACGAAGACAATGAGTGACTGATATTATTACTGTTATTATTTGTGACGTTTAATAATAGTAGGAATAATCATATCTATGGATCAATTTGTGGTTCAAAATGAAATCTGTATTAAAGCCCCGGATATCTAATCAGATCTTAATTGTTTGAAAGACAGCATAAGATGTATGGAGTTATCGAATGAATGCGATAATTGTTCTCAAAATATAATTGATTACAAAATTATATTAATGTCTCAAAGTTTTACAATTCATACGATCTGGTCATTTATGTCATTCATTATTGATTATTGATTCTCTACTCCAATCCCATACCAATCATAGATTATATTGAAAATTGTTATCAAATCATAAGTTTAACGTTTAATAATCGGTACTTAAGTTTCATTTTATTTCTATTTCTCATAATTACTATTTTATTTATTCATTTCTTTTGGAGAGAATTTTGTTTAATTATTATTATAATTATTCTTTGGTTCATAAGGTTTTTAAAGCAATTATAAGTAAAATGCATTTTAATTGTTTGTATAAACAGTCTCTCATACATAATATAATTACAAAGTTAAATGTGAACACAAAATGATAGCACATTTTAATTGTGATTCTCGGACAGAGAGCTTATTATGTTTTAAAAAAGATATTTTATTTGGAAATTAATTAAAGTTTTAGATGAGATTCAAGTAAATATAATAATATATAATTTTTATGGACAAACTATTGTTAAGATTACATGGAATTATTGTTTTTAAAATTATTAAATAATTATGACATTAATATATATTATGTTTTATTTATATTAAATGTTTGTTCATTTTTAAGGCTCAATCTTTGGTAACATTTCTTTCGTTTTTAAAATTAAAAACTAAAATTATTAATTATGTTATGTATGATTGCATACAATATCTAATTGATGTTTATTTTCTTTAATTTTAATTTTTACTAAACATTAAGTTTATAAAAAAAATAATTTTGTTTCTTTTTAATGAATGGATTTTTAGGTTTTAAACAATAATAAATTTTATGACAATTTCATAAAACCTTTTTTGTAACATTAATATTAATTATAATTACAATCTGTTGATAGATTTAAGAATTTTTAAATAAAAAAAATAATCACAAGTTTTATCCGTTATTTTAATCATTTTAATTCTTCAAATAAAGTAAGTGTAAAATTGAATTAACTTAAGTAACTCTGTATTAACTTTAGGCTATCATTTATATTAATATAAATATAAATACAGTACACTATAACTCAATTAATTAAATGCCAAAAAATTTAAGTTATACTATTTGATTATTCTGTTTAAAACTTGGAAACAGTTTTACTTCAGTTTGATATCAATTGAATTTAGTTATGCAATAAACTTATTAATGGTTTTATTTTAGAATTAATTAATTGTATAAAATATAAAAACTTTTTTGATGTCAAAAACACATTTAGGCAACAAAAAAAGTGATCATAAAATTCCTATAGACTAATGGTATGAGTCATAAGATATAGAGAATAGAGTGGAGAGTAAGTGAACCACAGGGAGCATAGGCTGAGTGAACCCCCGAATGCCTCTCCACTGCAATGCATTCAAACGGCATCTCTGTTTCGTATACTCTGATAACGAGTGGAGAAAATGTCAGCAAAAGATTCAATCGATTGCTATGGCTATGAATGCATAGCATAAACACTCGCTTTAAAAGGCTCTAATGGTATGGTATGGGGCTATGAATCAGTCAGTCCTCTCTGTTTATGGATACCATAAATACATATAAATAGTGATTGTTTTGATGAACTAAATCTGCCAAACAATTCATTTCGTTGTTTTCTAAGTATTGTTTGACCCACTCTTGCATATGAAGTGATGGAAATTACTCCAAATGTTTCGATAGGATTCTTCTGACATTAATTATGTAATCATTTGTCTCAAACCAGTCATTAATTTGATGCTATAATGAAAAGCATAAGCAATAAAATACATCTGATTAGCATTATATGCCTCCTCACAGGTCTGACTCATTAAATATATTTTGTACTTTCTTTGGTGTTTAAATTCTTTGTATAATATTTTTAAAATATCCTTTCTTTCCACAAAATTCATCTAAAATTTTATGATTGGTTTTACAGCAGAGAAATGTTTAACTCATTTAAATATTGATTTGGAGTCAGAGCCAGAATCCAATCTATTTCTCGAAGACATCGACAAATCGGATTCAGAACCCATTGATTCTCAAACTGATCTCAAGTAATTGATAAATCATTTCTTATTTGATAACATTTATTTTGATTAATGATTTCCAATAAGAATATTACGCGAAAAATAATGTATATATTGCATAACATTATTCATAATTTTATTTATAATTTTGACTTTTATTATATTCAAAGTGTTTTAAAATATTAATATTAGAACATTATTACATAGTCTATTGAAATTAAGTTAATTTTGGAGAATATTATTTATATTTAATGATTTTAGGGTTTTTATTATACCATTAATTTTTATTAATTCATTCAATGGATGTGATGTCCATTAATTCTTTATAACATCATTCTGTCTGTGATATCATTTACTGATATAAATGAATGTCTGTTTAATACAAACATAATTTAATTAATTAACGAAATTGATATTTTCTTAGTTTGATAAATATGTTATGTATTTTATGACAATTTGTTTTCTTTTATAAATATTGAAACTATTCCTGAAATATAGTATAAGAAAAATATTTGTCTGAAATTTTAAAGAAATGTGTGACAAATATCGAAATTATAATTTATGACCCAATATATCATTATGTGCTCAAAGTTTAGTGAAAATAATTTAGAAAAATATTTATATTAATAAATGCTTTAAATTCTTTATTAACACATATTTGTGAAATGAAAGCAATGAATATATGGTTAGAAATTATTGTTTATTTCCGATTTCTAATCCATTGGCAGATATTTCGCTTTTGTTCACCCCTTGAGTTCAGTCTCCGTGAGAGCCAATTACGGGCCCTTAACTGTGAGACAGACGGTATACCCTTCCTATTGGACCGACTCTTCCCTCAGTCTTAAGAGGAATGACTCATACAATGCGAATTCAATACATAGTAATTCTCAAGTGAAGGCACCGGCGCTTAACGGAGAGCTTTCCGCACACTTAGTCACGCGAGAGGTTCGTCGCAGCGCTCCTGTACTCCGAGTCCTCTTCTATGCCAAACACACATCAGATTATACTCACAGAACTCCCAATGACTTCATCGACAAAACCATTTGCGCCGCTATTGTTGTTCAGTACCATAAGGAGAGACTCTTCGGCACCTGTAGTCCCAGTAAGTCGAGGGAAGGCGCCTGTCTGGCAGAGGTGACCATTCCTGTCGCCTATTGGCCATCCATTGACACGAATGGATTGTCACCGAAGGAACAGAAGACATCCAATGTTAAAGTGTATTACGCGGTCACACACGCAGAACACTGCTCTGAATCTTCATTCATCACCACAACTGATTCCAATCCATTAATACTCAATTACTTATCCGATGTATCATTAGTTCCATTCCGCGGCAGCTATGAAGAGGTCACTAATGATAATGTGGTGACAATTCTGATACCACAAGAACCAGTTTATCCAAACTCTAAAATCTATATTCCAGTCAAATTCACATACAATCCCGAGTATCCGATCGCGGCTTTCAGTTTGAGAATTCGGGTCAAAAGTGGTGTCCGAATACTCGGCGCCCAATTGTCTCATCCAAACAGGTTATGGCAGTTAAGCACTGAAGTCAGTCCCAAACAAACCACAGCCACTGTTACGGCCTTTTTGCGCGACTTTGATGTACAACAAGACAGCGATTCAGTGCCCGACGAGTTATTGGAGACGCCTTCACAAGAGGTTTACTCATGGCTTATAGAGATCGACGAAGACATCGATATCAATGACGGCGGAAGAATTGTGTGGCAACTCTTATACGTGACGGAGAGCTCTATCGCAGTCAAACAGGACTTTGATAAGGAATCGGCAAAACTATCGTCTCGTCTCGACATACAAAAGGACAACGTATTGGATGTGTTGGCGATCACTAAATCTCGACAACTGTTAAACACAGCGCTTCTAACGGGACGACAGGTTTCGCAGGCAATGCGAATATATATGGTGTCGTCCGCCGGACGTATCAGTGATATAACACTTCAGGTATGTTTCAGACAATTTCAAATGCATTGACACCTCATTGTAATGGTCTATATGTTGGACAGTCTTCGTGTCACGCGGCGGACGAATCCATACTGAAAGTGTCGCCTTCGTGTACATCAGTCTATTTGGATGGAAGTGAAGTGAGAGGCGACCAAAACGCCACGATTCTCATCAAATATGGCGGCGCTTCCTATCAGAAGAATTTTGTCGTTTGGAGACCAGAACTGCCGATTGATATCAGAGTAGACGACAACAAATTGAGTCAAATTAAGAGTTGGAAAACTCAGTTAAAACGCAAACATAATTCCTATGTTATCGACGAAGAGTCCCAACAGTCTGTTGGCGACGAAGCGAGTGATACAAAGACCGGCAAAATCAATGAATTGACAGATAATGATCACAATTACATTCCCTGTCGACTCCGTTTCCAACAAACCAAAGTAGAACTCTATACCAAATTCTTCAGCACTGACCACAACTCCGGCAGAGAGGCATCGCTTCTCAATCGCAGAATATCCATAAGAATCACGAATCTGTTGATGCCTTACATTCGTGTTACGGATCCCAAGATACTGGCCCTCAAAGCCAACATCATTGAAGGGCTTAGTGTCGGGCGCTCTGAAGTGCAGGTCATATCTCCAATCACTGGTCAATTGATGGGCTCTAAAGAGGTTCGCGTGACCGCCGATAAGGAGACAATCACTCACATGGATGTGAAGGTTGTGACGGGTTTGGAACTGGAGGTGAAACCATACCCACCCCTAAGCAACATCTGGATGGCAAAGACCACTCTCTTGGATAAGTTGACGACTCAATATCAGGAGGCATTGCTCGACATTAAACTCCACTTCTCTGACGCTTCTTATATTGATCTGTCGGATGTCTCGCCTTCCGATTATAACCTATCCATTGATACATTCGATGGTGCCGTAGCCCTCGCACCCAATACCGGTCTCTACCCTCGAGTTATAGCGATAGGTCCCGGAAGGGGACAACTGTTGCACTTGTCGTTTGAAGTGTGCAATTCGTGTCAACGAAAACGGACTCAACCCCTGGCGCTAAAGTACGTGAACGTAAACGTGGACTTCACGACATCCAGCCTTCAAAACGATGCTTTCAATTATCGCAAAAATACAGTGAATGGGAGTCAGAGTCCGAGCGCTGATCTGCAATATTTGAGTAGCAAAGAGAAAGTGACTACAAATGAATTCGTAGTGATTGGCAAACAAAGTATCCGTAAATCGAGTATAAATATGGGTAATCTTGAAGTCGGTATTTACAGCTTCTTTGCCATCTTTGGCATTGCTATCATAATTGTCGGCGTTTTGTATAAAATGTTTGGACCCGTGAAGACACCTCCAGAACCGGTCACCACAACACGTATAGCACCCATCACTTCAAGCAATAGACCGATTGTGGCGAACGCTAACGAATGGGTTTGGTTAGGGAGGGCTACACTCGAGAGGAACTCTGTCGCCACTAAAAGACATACATTAATCCCTCAAAAAGACTTTAACGGAAATGTCTCGGAAAACGACAGAAGAAGTCAACGAATCAGTTCAGACATTGGCTGTAAGTTTGCCTTCAATTCATTTAGAAATTCTTGTTTTAAATAATAACTAAATTATAATTTTAGCCAATCGTTTGAGTGCTATTTCATATCCCGGTTCTGAGATAAGCATAAGAATCACATCAAATCCAAATCCTGTTGAAGAAGGCGACGACATCGATGAGGTCGACGTTCATAGTCCGCAACCATTGATATCTAACAGAACCACATCTAAACCGAAACACTTACCAATGGGTGCGCCGCCCATACCTGAGCGCAAATCCAGATCAACTCAAAACAAGTTCACCACTTATTCAAAGCCTCCGCCGATTCCTCCGCACCGGAGCTCAAGAAATCTGAATGAGATGAGAGGGGTGTCCGTTAGGGCCCGACCCCCGCCAGTGCCACCCCATCGAGACATTGGGTCAGCCAAACGGTGGAGTAATCCTCCGGTTATGGCTCAGAATCTAAGGGTAGAATTGCCTCCAAATAAACACAAGAAATGCAATCTCAATGAGAATAAAGACAATTTAGATTACAATCAATTACAGGAATATTTCGATAGTCTTAAAGAGTCTAACGCTTGATAAACACTTCGAGACATTATATTTCTCAATATATTTCAGTGCCATTTGTTTATTAAATATTTAGGTTTATTTGATATCTAATTCTTAACGCAGTTTTATATTTAAGAGTAATTTGAAAAATAAGTTTATTTTGCCTTAAGTTTAACTAAAGTATGATAAAAAGTAAAAGAAAACACATTAATTAATGTATAAATCATTTTATAGACAATAGTTATCGAGTTATTGTCAGTTTTATCGCACCTTTTTAATTGTATCCATTCATTGAATGTTAATTAACATCTAATCAAAAGTGGATCTAATGTTATGTGAAAACTGGTAAATAATTATTGTTTTTAATTCTTATAAGTGCTAACAATTTGGGTGCAAATCATTAAGTCATTTAAATGATCTCTTTTTAATTTATATATTATTTTTATAATTTTATTGTACGATAAGAATCTGATTTATTATTTGAAAATGTTGTTCAATTGTTTTCATTGTTTAATTGTGAGTAGTATTCAGTATAAGTGTTAAAATTAATACATTGTATATATATTCTGAGCACCGAATCACTGAATTTATGAAAATGACTGAATCAATAGTCAACACACCTTTAAATATTATTTTTTGAGAAACTCATTATAATGTTATTTTACTTTCTGTGCTGTAATATTAATATAACAAAATTACTACAACAGTGAATAATTGTATTCAAATAATTCATTACATTGTTTGTTTTGTTCGGTTCAACCATTTATATTAGTAATCATTTAGAAATCACAGATAATTAATATCCAGAGTTTTTACTATAAATGGTAAATGAGATTAAATAACTCTAAATATATACAGTACTGAATAAAATTGAGTGACATGTTTGCAATTTGCTCACAATTCATATTAAACACTACAAAAAAGTTTCAGTAATTGACAAACAATTATATTCAAAAATCACATTAAAGTATTATTTATGTAAAAAACAATAAATTTAAATGAGAAATAGATTACATATTTAGCTTAAATCTATTGAGAACTAATCTAAATAGTAATTAAAAAACTAATTGGTATTCTCATTGCATACAATTGTGAAATATTTGCTTAGCTCATAGGATTTAATTGTGTACTGAATTAACAAATTGTGAATCCTGAGTCCAAATAACAATACAAAATAAAAATATATAATATTGTAACAATTAATACTTATTAATTGCTAACTAATAGTCTGTCATTCATAATAAAATAAGTTATTTAGTTATGATATAAACGATACAATAAAACTATAGTGAAATTCTTGTTGTAGAAGTGAACACATATTCTTGTGTTAAAGTAAACAACTTTTTAAGATTTGATTTGTAATTAACATTTGCATAAAAATCAGACCTTTTATTATAAAAATATATTCTTTCATCTGTTTTGTGATTAACACTTAACACTCATATATGATATATCATACTCTCTGTAAGTATTAGTTCAAAAAATTGCATATAATTGCGATTTTCTATACAAATATACCTCTAATTGATGACAAAAAATACATACAATTTGTAAAGAATGTCTTCAAAAGATAAATCTCACACAAATTAAAGTAGTCTAACATATCTCTCACATTATTATTATTATTATTATTAATATTATTTATTTTATTATTTATTGTAATTGTTTTTTTTCAGTTTAAATAAAAAGAATTTTCAAATGAAATCAAAAGTCTTTTACAGAATTTAATGGTTTATGAAAATTAATGCTTAAAATACTGTATTTGGCTGTCATTGACGCTATAAATTATACGTTATTTGACTAATCAAATGAAATACAAAATACATGTTTTGTTAACAAATAAAGGCGAAGAAGTCTATAGACTTTGAGGAGTACGGGTCTGTATGTGTTATAAATAGCATTCATAATGAAAATATCTTTTGAAGTACACTATATGAAGAGAGTTTAGAGATTTGGGACTCAAGCAAAATGCACACCAACTAAATAAGTGAGGAATAAGTGACTCCTCTATTAATAGACGACACTTTTTAGGAGACTTTGTGTGCGCTCTTCTTGTTGTATACATTTCTATCTCTATCTCTCTCTTCGCCACTGTTTTTGTGTCGAACGGAGACTCAAAACGGAATACAAATCCTCCACTGAATTGATGCGAGAATCGCATCGTTTAAGACCTGTTTATGTCACTCACGCCTTATAAATGCAATCCATTGTAGCTGTGAATGAAAGTCTACAAAGTCTACACGTAATCATTTATATAATTAGTGGACTGTATTATGAAAAACACGACATCCGTGTCTTTTAGCACATATCCGGGCAGAAGTGCTCCCAATAATGGCAATAATGGGAATCGCACTCAATTGAGAGACCGTAAGAACCAGAGCCAGAGTTGGGCCACTTCTAAGCTCAACGCTTTCCGCAAGAGTTGGTTCGGTTTCTTCAACGATAAGGTATTCAAATTACTTCATAAAACACTAACACTTATGTCTACACCGTTTTTGTCGGCCACACAGTTGTACATCAAATCAGACAAATTCAACGATTCTGTCTCACTATACCATTATATCTGACATTTCATCGCTTTATTTCTCTAAAGCACTAACTATTCAATGAATTAATACTCTTATCGCACGATAAGACGTTTGGTATAATGTTATGTCAATTTTGTCTTAACTTTTACTACATATATAGTTGTGATATTCAATATGTTTTATATAACTATCAATCGCTGATCAGTCGTTAAAGTAAACAAAATTATGATTTATAAATATAGAGTACAATAAACCGTAAAAATTGTGTGTACTTTAAGAGGCCTTTAGTTTTACTGTATTTGCATTGATTTGCAAAATATAGTAAATTCGTGTCATTTATAAAAACAACTTTTTTATGGCAAAAAAGTATTTTAAATATAAAAATAAACAACAATTTAAACGATAACGCGATTTATAATTAGATATTTATTTTGATTTTCATTGCAAATAATTTTTATTTTAAGAGCAAAAGTTTTTTTAATTAACAAAATTTTTAAGTAACACATTTTAATGAATATCATCACAGAATTTCATTGCAATGCAAAAGTCAACTAAAAGCGAGAGAGAGAGAGAGAGAGAGAGATTCTCAATGCATATACTATACGCTTATGTTCATCAATCATCTAATGATGAACACTATGGGAACTGTATGTCTCTCTCCCACTCTCACTATATGTCTGTGTGTAATGGCTTCAGTCAAACGATTATCTTTATGTGATTCGCAGCACAATAATAGTGAACAACAGCAGAGAGAGAGAGAGAGAGAGAGTTTAAATTGATTTGGTTAACCATTATATACAAACGAATGCATGAATTTAATGATAATGACAATTAAAACTTAATAGTTGTCTCATTTGTTCATCAGAGTCGGGATAACAGGTCTAATGAGTGGCAATATATAGACGGCGACACTTTCTATGGCATGAATGGTGTGAATGGATTGAGTGGAGGGACTGCAGGGGAGGCACACATCGGACGCATTGGAGGCCATCAGCACAACACCAGTGAAGAGGTGCTCAACGATACACACAATACACCCGTCAATGGCATTCATTTCGGTGCACTTGTCTTGAGGTCAGTCATGGATCTGATCCATGAGTAACCACTCATTTCATTAACCATTTCTAATATACAATAATACAAACACTTATCGCATATTCACGTCATGTCCTCTCCATTCATGTGATGTAAGTCTCCATTCATTTCAAACACTCATTCAATTGAATGTAAATTTTGTATATTTTCGGCATTTATTTGTGATTTATGTATATTTTGTTAATCACTATATTATCTGTTAATTAGACTCGAGTTTGAAAATACAATTTCATTGATCGCAAAAAGCATTGATTGAATGAAATGCTAACAAATGCTATGAATTTGTGATACAATTTGAGCGTTAATTACAATAATAATAACGATAGCAATAATAGGAGTCATAATAACAGTGTTATTGACTTTGACTGTCATTTGAGAGAAAATATATATTTATTTATTTTTATTAGACTTTTAATTAGGAAGTGATCGCTATTTTTGCCATTCATTTCAATTGTAAATCACATTTGATTTGATGCCAAAAATCATTTGCAATGCATTTTCTATGAGAGAGACTCTATGTATAAATCATTGAAGTTTTGCTCAAAATATTTAGTTTTTCGGTTCAATTAAACCATCAAATAATTGACTTCAATATTGAGTTCATTACAGAGACTGAGAAAAAACGAGTCAATAATTAATGAACAGAAAAAGATTTTTGATTTATTTTTATTTCAAACAAATTTTATGTATTTTTATGTTTTGTTTTTTATCATACAATTTGATTAAAATATTTTTTGTGTTGATTTTATATTCATTTTATGAGTATATCTCTCAAAACACTAATGTTTTTATTGACTATATTTTTTGTGCGCGAAATAAATAAATAAAATGTGAAATATATTGAAATGGGTTTTTGTTTTCAATGATCTGTGGATTGATTTGTGATTACATTGAATGCAATCTTCGAAGTCATTGATCTGACGAAGAGATCTCAACGTCTCTGACTGCGAGTGTCTGACAATTATTGTCTGAATTAGCATTTTGTGGCAATTATTTGATGATTATATCAATCACTCAATAATAGTCCACTAAAAGTCCCACAAATTTTATTATGTTTTTTCTTTATGTCTGCCAATCGTAACCATATATTTTCATCTCGTTTTATACCTATTTTTGTCATTCAAATGCAATAATAAACTCTTTTTTATTAATTATGGTTTCAATAAACTATAATTATATCTCTCTATAAGTATGTTGTGTCCAAATTTAAATACTGATCTCATTTAATGAGTATTTTATTTACTAATTTAATTAATGTAAAAATAATTATTTAAATTCTGATTTGTTAAAGAATTTTAATTAATCCAAGAAATGACTTTTTGAACATAATTTGCAGCAATTAATTAATTTGGAGATAAACTTCGGATTGTTTTTTGTTTGCATTGAAATACTTCGAGCGAAAGATCCCAACAAATATCAATTCAATGACTTTTGACGAAAACTTTAAATTTAGTATTTCTTTGAAACTGAAAGGCATTTTAGGAATGAGTGAAGACATGA